CCACGTCCCAGAGGTCGCAAACGGGTTTTGATTCCTTACCCGTACCCGGCCGCACCAGGGTAAAAAACGGGTACCCGTACCCTACCCGATACCCGGCTACCCGTACCCGGCCGGGTATCGGGTAGGGTACGGGTACCCGATTGCGACCTCTGGGATGAAGCCATGTTGCGGGCGCGGGTGGGTTGATTCTAGGAACTTGAATTGTGAGAAGAGACAAGACGTTGGGAAATGAGTGACAACGGTTACTCACCAGTGACTCACGGCCTACCCGTACCCGGCCGCACCAGGGTCGCAAACGGGTACCCGTACCCGGCCGGGTACGTGTAGCCGGGTACCGGGTAGGGTACGGGTATCGGGTACCCGGTTGCGACCTCTGCCACGTCCTGGCTGCCTTAGTCTCTAAATGTCCAAGTGATACGTCACTCAGTTCAGCTATCATTTGCGATGGACAGGTCACTTCTGAAAAATAAGTTAATACCTCAGTGGGTTTTGCCTGGTAGGATGGTTTTGTTTGATTTGTACGTGTTTGGAAGATTTTCTTGGTTCTTATCGGTAAAGTCACGTAGAACGGAAGTAATAAAATAATAAAACATAATAAAATAATTCTCACGACGTTTCGACCACAACGCAAGCAGCCGTCTTCAGGTGAAAACCAGGTCTGTCGAGGCGACAGCGTGGCCGAAACGTCGTGAGAATTATTTAATGTTTTATTTTTATTATTTTATTACTTCCCTTCTACGTGACTTTACCGAAAGAACCAAGAAGATGAACCCCTGCAGTCACGAAAGCTTTGAATCGAAATTTGGAAGATTTGTTTACCTTTCTTGTACTTTACACTACTATCAAGTTTTTTTGTATTGTTAGTTGTTACGTTATTACCCGTCCCGACTGGACATCTGTGAAAAAGGGCTCCGTAGGTCATCGCATTCCTCCTCCTGCAGTATAAATATTCTTATTCCGTTTCCGTGTAGCACCAGGTCATCATTAACGACTAACTCGACCTAGGGGAGGCCAAGGACGGCGAGCGGGAATTTAACTCGGGTCGCCGAGATCGAAGCGGTGTGCTAACCACTGTGCCACCGCTACTCACACACGACGCCACCACCACCGTCACACCACTGAGATGACGGTGGAGCAATTGGGAGCAGGTGGCTCTTATTCTTTAGTTTGTTTATTTATAATATTGAGCACAGGCCCTAAAAGCCCACAACATCACGTGGCGAACAACAAAAACGGGCTATTAAGAGCAGTAATATATAAAAGTGTGGCAAGGGCCATAAATTGAGCACGGTTTTTACGAGCGACGGGGGGGAAATGGACCGTAAGAGGGAATTCCAAAATGGAGCGTTGAGAGGGAAGAAGGGAGGTGATCCTGCAGTGTATGGCACGCAGCGGCCCCCACGTGTCCCCCAGTGGCCCCCGCGTGTCTCCCAGTGACCCCCGCGTCTCCCAGTGACCCCCGCGTGTCTCCCAGCGACCCCCGCGTGTCTCCCAGCGACCCCCGCGTGTCTCCCAGTGACCCCCGCGTGTCTCCCAGTGACCCCCGTGTGTCTCCCAGCAACCCCCGCGTGTCTCCCAGTGACCCCCGCGTGTCTCCCAGTGACCCCCGTGTGTCTCCCAGCGACCCCCGCGTGTCTCCCAGCGACCCCCGCGTGTCTCCCAGTGACCCCCGCGTGTCTCCCGGTGACCCCCGCGTGTCTCCCAGTGACCCCCGTGTCTCCCAGCGACCCCCGCGTGTCTCCCGTGTGTCTCCCAGTGACCCCCGCGTGTCTCCCAGAGACCCCCGCGTGTCTCCCGTGTGTCTCCCACGTGTCTCCCAGTGACCCCCGCGTGTCTCCCAGTGACCCCCGTGTGTCTCCCAGCGACCCCCGCGTGTCTCCCAGTGACCCCCGCGTGTCTCCCAGTGACCCCCGTGTCTCCCAGCGACCCCCGCGTGTCTCCCGTGTGTCTCCCAGTGACCCCCGCGTGTCTCCCAGAGACCCCCGCGTGTCTCCCGTGTGTCTCCCACGTGTCTCCCAGTGACCCCCGCGTGTCTCCCAGTGACCCCCGCGTGTCTCCCAGAGACCCCCGCGTGTCTCCCGTGTGTCTCCCAGTGACCCCCGCGTGTCTCCCAGTGACCCCCGCGTGTCCCCCAGTGACCCCCGCGTGTCTCCCAGTGACCCCCGCGTGTCTCCCAGTGACCCCCGCGTGTCTCCCAGCGACCCCCGCGTGTCTCCCAGCGGCCCCCGCGTGTCTCCCAGCGACCCCCGCGTGTCTCCCAGCGACCCCCGCGTGTCTCCCAGTGACCCCCGCGTCTCCCAGTGACCCCCGTGTGTCTCCCAGTGACCCCCGCGTGTCTCCCAGTGACCCCCGCGTGTCTCCCAGCGACCCCCGCGTGTCTCCCAGTGACCCCCGCGTGTCTTCCAGTGACCCCCGCGTGTCTCCCAGTGACCCCCGCGTGTCTCCCAGCGACCCCCGCGTGTCTCCCAGCGGCCCCCGCGTGTCTCCCAGCGGCCCCCGCGTGTCTCCCAGCGACCCCCGCGTGTCTCCCAGTGACCCCCGCGTGTCTCCCAGTGGCCCCCGCGTGTCTCCCAGCGACCCCCGCGTGTCTCCCAGTGGCCCCCGCGTGTCTCCCAGTGGCCCCCGCGTGTCTCCCGGCGGCCCCCGCGTGTCTCCCGGCGACCCCCGCGTGTCTCCCAGTGACCCCCGCGTGTCTCCCAGCGACCCCCGCGTGTCTCCCAGTGACCCCCCGAGTCTCCCAGTGGCTCCCGTGTGTCTCCCAGCGACCCCCGCGTGTCTCCCAGTGACCCCCGCGTGTCTCCCAGTGGCTCCCGCGTGTCTCCCAGCGACCCCCGCGTGTCTCCCAGTGGCTCCCGTGTGTCTCCCAGCGACCCCCGCGTGTCTCCCAGTGACCCCCGTGTGTCTCCCAGTGACCCCCGCGTGTCTCCCAGCGACCCCCGCGTGTCTCCCAGTGGCTCCCGTGTGTCTCCCAGCGACCCCCGCGTGTCTCCCAGTGACCCCTCGAGTCTCCCAGAGACCCCTCGAGTCTCCCAGCGACCCCCCGAGTCTCCCAGTGGCTCCCGTGTGTCTCCCAGTGGCCCCCGCGTGTCTCCCAGTGTCTCCCAGTGGCCCCCAGTGACCCCCGCGTGGCTCCCAGTGGCTCCCGCGTGTCTCCCAGTGGCTCCCGCGTGTCTCCAAGTGGCTGGCTGTACCTGCAGCTTGCGCGCCATGGCCACCACCTCGTGGTCGGGCGGGTTGTACTTGTAGCAGTTGGAGAACATGAGACGCACGTCGCTCGCAAACTCCTGCGCGTCCTGGTACTCGCGTCCGTCCATCTTGTGCTGCGCAGAGCGGGAAACCCACGTGTCATCATCGTCGTCATCATCGTCATCATCATCGTCATCATCGGCCAGTACACCCAATGGCGTTGTCGCCGCATGCCCAGCACCTACCTGGGCACACGAGTTGATTTCACCGCTCCGTCTCCCAGGTGGAGGGTCTCTCTCGGGGACACGTTGTGTTCCGTGGTTGCCGCTCCGTTATTACTTTCGACCGTCGGCCATCGTCCCCCTTTTGGCCGCGACGCATCCTAAACCGAGCCCCATCGACTTTTCTTCACACTTTGAAAGGCGTCATTTAACCTGCGTGACTTCTCTAAATCCGTTGCGTGTTCTTCTTGTCGTCTCTCGGTGTAATGCCACGCATGCTTCATCGTCATCGTCTATCCACTTCTGGATGAAGATCATTATCGTGTTATTCACCAGTGTGTGTTCTCCAATCAGCATGTTCCTCTGTTTCAGTCTAATTGCCAGCATGCGTCTCTCCGCGTGTCGCTGCGCATAGTTCACCTTCTGTTCGTTACGTTTGGCGAACGACCGCGATCTTTCTGAACCAAGCTTCACGGCAGGCTGCGTACGCCAACTGACTCAACACGACCTATAAACTATTTAAACTATTTTAATTTTATCCACTGAGCTACATTGCTCTTTTTCAGAAGCGACCTAGCCTCATATGAAAGCTCAACAAAGTGGCTCATCATCGGGTGGAAATTTATAGCAGCATCCAAATACTATAAACGCACGTCGATTCTAAATGCGGGGAGAAAGTATACGGAGGACCCGCAGAGAAAAATCCACACAACCACGCGGAAAGAGACATGCCAACTCCAAATATACAACAGGCATCAGGGTCGGGATCGAACCCACGACCACCTGCATACCAGGCGAGGTAGTGAACATCTCCTAGCCACCGTGATGATGATGAGAGAGAGACACGCAAACTCCAAATATACAACAGGCATCAGGGTCGGGATCGAACCCACGACCACCTGCATACCAGGCGAGGTAGTTAACATCTCCTAGCCACCGTGATGATGAGAGAGAGAGAGACACACGCAAACTACAAATATATAGCAGCAGGCGTTAGGGTCGGGATCGAACCCACAACCACCTGCATACCAGGCGAGGTAGTTAACATCTCCTAGCCACCGTGATGATGAGAGAGAGATGCAAACTCCAAATATACAGCAGCAGGCGTCAGGGTCAGGATCGAACCCACGACCACCTGCATACCAGGCGAGGTAGTTAACATCTCCTAGCCACCGTGATGATGATGAGAGAGAGAGAGACGCAAACTCCAAATACACAGCAGCAGGCGTCAGGGTCAGGATCGAACCCACGACCACCTGCATACCAGGCGAGGTAGGGTATAATACATCTCACACATTTGGAGCCGAGCGTTCCGAAAACCGCTCCCACCATGTTGCTCTCGTCTACCTCTTTCGTTTCATCGAACTTTGACCCCCGCGGTCCGAGTTACAACAGCTGCCCGCTGGCTTCAAAGTCACTCTGTCGCGTCTCTCTCTCCCGACTGGCGTCTCCACTTGTCGGCAGAGGTCGCAATCGGGTACCCGATACCCGTACCCTACCCGATACCCGTCTACCCGTACCCGGCCGGGTACGGGTACCCGTATGCGACCCTGGTGCGGCCGGGTACGGGTAGGCCGTGAGTCACTGCTGAGTAACCGTTTGCCACTCATTTCCTAACGTCTTGTCTCTTCTCACAATTCAAGTTCCTAGAATCAACCCACCCGCGCCTGCAACAAGGCTTCATCCCAGAGGTCGCAATCGGGTACCCGTACCTGTACCCTATCCGATACCCGGCCGGGTACGGGTAGCCGGGTATCGGGTAGGGTACGGGTACCCGTTTGCGACCCTGGTGCGGCCGGGTACAGGTAAGGAATCAAAACCCGTTTGCGACCTCTGCTTGTCGGGCTCACGCGCTGCAACGCGGCGACGCTTTCTGCGTTTGATCCGGTTTATGCCGAGCCCCACTTGGCAGCCTGGGCCCAGCCCAGGGGTCGGCAACTTTTGTCTCTTCGACGAGTGCTTCGTGATGTTATTTATTGAGGGCCACCGTCTCGCGTATTCTCATGTGCATTGGCATCTCTCGAAATAGTTTTTTTACCGAAAAAGAAAAAGGCTCTTGTGATTTTGGTTTGCCGTGCATAACCACCAGAGCCCGGCCAACACTCAACACGGAAGGCTTGCGCCGAGCAAACTCGCACGCTGAACGAGCGAGCGAGCGCCAGGGAAGGGCGACGCAAGCGTCTCACCTTGATGGTGCTGAGGTCCATGGGGTGCTTGATGATGTCGTGGTAGTCGTGCAGGCCCAGCGCGTCCGCGTCCACAGGCTTGTAGAAGGGCCATGCGTAGGCCGCGTGCTTCTTGGCGAACATCTCCTTCAGGATGGAGCTGCAGTGCTTCAGCTGCTCGGGTGCCGGGAGTTTGCTCTTCTTGCTGGCGGGCGGGGACGGGACGGAAGCCGCCACGGCCGCGGCTGCAGCGGCCGCCACGGCCGCCGCTGCTGCAGCGGCGGCTGCCGCCTGCTGAGAGTCGGGCATCTCCTTGCGGGCCTTGCCGCGGCCGCCCTCCTTGCGGGCGGGCGCCTTGGTCGGTTTGAAGTCGGCGGCGGCAGGAGGGGAGGCCTCGCCGCTCTCGGGAGGCGTGGTGCTCGGCATGGGCGTGGTGGTGTCAGCTTTCCGCTTCACGCCCTTCTTCACCTGCGACAAGGGAGGCGGGGGACGCACACAGGGAGTGGTGGGCGGATCACTCGGGGAGCTTCCAGCGACCGCCGATGAAGAGAGGTCATCTGCGGCGGCGTGCATCCATCTGTACACGTGCGCGCACGTAGCCAACCGTGCTAATTTCAACGCCTCCCGTGTGCGCGGCATGCACGGTACGTCACGTGCAGAGAAAGTGCGGCGGAATTGTGGGTGGCGAGAACGTGGTGGCTCGTGGGTGGCGAGCGTGGTTGAGTGTGGGTAGGAGGGCGACGGGTTGAGAGCGGTGCGGTGGATCGCGGGCAGCGAGCGTGTCGCATCGCGGCTCGCCCGTGCGGTTCAACGCGAGCGGCATCGCGGGCGGCGCGTCGTTTGTCGCGGGTGACGTGAGCGGGGCCGGCACCTTTGACACGGGTTGCGCCGGCACCTGCCCCAGCGCGGGCACGGACGTCGACGTCACCGCTGGCCCTGCCGGCGCCGACGTCCCCGCACCCGCCACGGGCCTCAGCTGCTGCGCGGGGGGCGGCGCGGAGCTGGGAGGGGGCGCCGGGCGGGGCAAGGGCGGCCGCGTCGACACCACCCGCTGCGCCGCCTGGGGCCCGGCCTGCGGCGTCAGCTGGGCCGCCGCCCTGGGGCCCTGCGGGGTTCCGCCCCTCGCCGCCTGAGGTCCCCCGCCCCCCCTCGCTCCCTGGGGGCCCCCGCCCCCCCTCGCTCCCTGGGGGCCCCCCCCGCCCCTCGCCGCCTGAGGTCCCCCGCCGCCCCTCGCTCCCTGAGGGCCCCCGCCCCTGGCCCCCTGAGGGCCCCCCCCGCCCCTCGCCGCCTGAGGGCCCCCGCCCCTGGCGCCCTGAGGGCCCCCCCCCCGGGGGCTCTGCTGGGGGCCCGCCCGGGCGGGCTGCGGGGCGGCGGCCTTCGGGACCTGGGGGGCGGGCGCGGGGGCGGCCGGGGCGTGGGCGGGGGTGCCGGGGGGGGAGGCGGGCGACGCGTGGTTGGGCTGGGGTGCGGGCGTCTGGGCGGGCGCTACCGACGTGGGGGTGGACCCCCCCGAGGAGGCGGCCGAGGCGGCCGCGGCGGCGGAGGCGGCGCGGGGAGGCCGGGTCGACGTAGGGGCGGCCCCCCTTTGCGGGGCGGATGGGCCCCCCTGGGCCTCCTCCTCCGGGCTCTGTGACTCCACGCTGGTTGCTGAAACACGGCACAGCGATCGCGGTCAGAGGTGGCAGGTCAGTGTTAGACTCGGTGAGCAGCAGTAACGATTGTAATTATCATCGAGTCTCAAGCCTCTGTCCCACGAGGGTTAGACACGTGAAGGAAGCAGGTATCTGCTGACGACGCTGTGTTACATATCATCAAGTTTTGCGTCAAAGTAGATCCCATATCCAAGAGGAGGGTCCTTGTCTATCGCGAGGTGTCTGTACCGCCCCCCCATCCCCGTCGTTTGCATCCTGTATTGGGCTTTGGTTTAATGAAAAAGCGATTACATATAACAATAAAAAAGCACCGATATTTTGAAACGCACAGGAACCGAAACGCAACGGCGCTTAAGAGGGGGCGCTATGCATGCGTAGCGAGCAGTAGGCCTCGGCAAGGTAAGGTAAAAGTTAAAAGGTAAAAACAACGAGCCTACCTTTACCCTACCTTTTACCTTACCCATGTCGACACCTTTACCTTTACCCTTTTACCCGATAAAAAGGGTAAATTACCTTACCTTGCCGAGGCCTAGCGAGCAGAGCAGCCGCGCCGTGACTCAACGGCGGCCAGAGTGCCGCTTTCTCCGCGGCCTACCGGCCTACTGGCCGGCCGTACTCACCGGTATTCTTGCGGCCGCGGCCCTTGGCTGCCTTAGGCGCCGGCTGCTGCAGCTCAATTTCATCCTGGGGCATCTCTGCCACCTTCTGCAGGAAGAACTTCTCCAGGCTTTGCGCCATCAGCACGATGTCGTCACTCGGCTGGTGGCGAGTGGGGAGGTGGAGGAGGGGGGGGGGGGGGCGGTCAGGTGAGATGCCAGCGATACGACCACAAGGCCAGCACAAGCGGAGCGAGCTCCAACAAAGTAGATTTTTCTTCTTGGTTCTTTGGGTAAAGTCACGTAGAAGGGAAATAATAAAATAATAAAAATATTTCCCTTCTACGTGACTTCACCGAAAGAACCAAGAGGATGAATCCCTGCAGTCACGAAAGCTTTAAATGGAAAAAGAATGAAATTTTTTTTTTATCAAAAACATTTCATCTTGAAAATCCTTGGAGATGGAATTCATCTCGTTTGTAAGGGGGGTCCCAGGGTAGCAACTGATCCACACACAGCGTATGCACCCTCATAAGGAATATAGATTTGCAAAGGGCACTTCAATGGCCCTGCAATCTCAAAGCACTTAGCATCACACGTCCCATCTCCATCATTCTAAATGTGCTGCTTCGGTCCCTCTTGCTTAGCCAAGGGGTCCCCCCCCAAACAATGACAGCTGTCCCCGTGTGGCCCAAGGCGATGCAGCACCGACCTGCAAGTGAGTATTATAGTTTGTCTCCGCCATAGGAATGGAGAATCACCACCACCACCGACTCAGGACTGTACTCAGACACTCATTCGAGCGGGAAATCGCTCCGGCTGTTCTAGCAAACGCGACGCCACATGTACGCACCGCACTCGTGCACCGAACGTGCACACGGGACTCTTGCACCGATAGTGCGTACATTGATCGTGTGTACGGCACTCTTGCACCGATAGTGCGTACATTGATCGTGTGTACGGCACTCTTGCACCGCGCCCGTTTACCTCGACAGGCTAAAGCTGTGGCCTGCGCGGGGTGGGCGAGTGTGTGACGCTCACCCTGTTGTAGATGTAGCAGTTTGTAAACATGGTGCTGAAGTCCTGGATGCACTCCACTGCCGTCCAGTAGTAGTTGGACTCGAGCCGCTTTTTGATGGTCCCCATGTCCATGGGGTTCTTGATGATCTCGTAGTAATCCTGCGCGCACAGAAACACCGCAGCTCGTTCGCGCAAATCCTTGCACGGCGGAGGAGCTCGCCTGACCATCGGGCCCTATATCTCCCCCCCTCCCGCCCCCCCACGGTGAACGGTCCCCGATTCAGGGGTCACGGATCACTCAACTGAACGTTTTTACTGTCATACCGATTGCTGCATCATGCGCGCGGGCGGTCCGTCTCCTACGCAAAAGCGGGCCTCGTCTGATAAAGATTCCCCTCGCCTCCCATTCATCGGGGCTGTTACAAATCACTTTAAGTTCCGTTACTGATAACTGCACAAAACAACCGTTAAACATGTGGCCCGCATTATTTGGTTACTTTCGGAGCTAGATCGTGTAGCTATAATCCCAAGTTCTACACGTAATTATAATTAAAATATTGGCATTACATACCTGCACGACCTAACCCAAAAGAAACGAATTATGAATCGTGACACCGGCCGTGAAAGCCAACGTATCGGATTAAGATGACCCGCGCCTATTGAAATATCGAGCAGAAAACACACCGCGTTTACCGTTCAAACTGGGAAGCCAATTGGGAGCTGCCAGTGGTGCCACGGTGAGCAGCTCACGACCGGAACTGCAATCTAACAACTCGCCGGTCCCGTTCAATCTCCCGGTGCGCGCAGTTGAAACGATGGGGGCAGGTTTCTGAAATCCCCAACACCACTGCCACTGCCTTCGTTCACCCAGAAAAATGAACTCGCAAGCCCAGGTGGACTATTCCGCGTCAGTTGTACATTCCATCACCAGCACACGTTTTATTCATATTATCTGTATTATATTTTCTGTATCTCAATCAGCTCGAGCCTCCTATAAATCACGCACCTTCCATGTGGCCACCCCCACTCCGAATCCCTCCCCTCTCATCCATACATCTATAATCTCACTCGGCTCTGGAGGAACACTGGCGAACGAAATGGAACAACGTGGATGTCCAGAATAAACACCTCCCCATTCAAGACCCCAAACATCACCCACCTCCCGGAAGACACCGGTTGTGTAACCATTAACCGCATCACAAGATCGAAAGGACGATGCGCACATCTCCTTCACGAATGTAAAAACTAAAGACCCAAA